CTGTCCAAATTCAAAAACGGAAAAGAAATAAAAACGTGAGACCATCAAATCTTTACTTATTTGGTATCATTTTGATGTCATCACATCCCACTCATTCACATTTATTATGTGACATTATAATTCAAGTAATGACTTTTTCCCCTTGCAACACATTTTTCATTCACCGACTTTTAAAATATTACTTTACTACCTAAATTGTATTTTGTTTCCAATTCCAGTATCGTTACGATCCACACACTTACTTTTTCTCGATCACATCATCAAAACTCTACAAATTATCCACTTTGACCATACTAAAGTTTCATATATAATATGCATTTGAAAAAACAAGTTAATGAAACTTGAAAATGACTAGTTTGTGGGGAATTTTGGCGTCCAATGTGGGCCGGCAATGAATATTGGAACACAAAGTTGATTTGATTTGGTTATGTAGATGCAGCACTCCTCCAACATGTTTGCGTGCGCTGGCATTAATTTTGTTTGTCAAAATTTGGCCAGCAAAGAGGGCGTTGATTCTTGATATAATATACTGAATTTAATAAGAATTTTCAGGTGTAAGTAATGTTTAGAGTGGTTGATAATGGGAATAGTAGGAGCCAATATTATGAGGTAAATCATAATAGTTAAGCCTTTTAATCGTGTTCCGCATCACTATGCCGGCCCCAATATCTCTTTAAGTCAGCCTCATCTTCATTAGAATCATCCATACCAATTAATTTCAATTTGGCATATACTATTCTACGGCTACTAACTGTGATACCTATTTAAAATTTGAATCCTATACATATCCAAACTTTTTTTTTTTTTTTTTTGTAATAAAGTGTTTGTACCAACTAACATACCTCAATCATCTTCAAGGAAGAAGATAACGAAGCAAACCACCGTCACACCCTTCACTTAAATATGTGAATGTTCAGAGAAGAATTGACTAAAAACCACTGCACATATCCACATATCCCAATCGCCTATAACCATCTCTTTCATACAAAAAATTTTATAAAATTGTGTTTAATTGATTGATAGTTATTTTGAATTAGAGATAAACTTAGAATTAGATAGCTGATATGTGAAAACTGAAAAGTTATCACATAACATTACTTTAGTTTTGATATTTTAAACTGTGTAATGATATTTCATAAATATTACACCTTGATATAATTAGTATCATTTTCAATAATTATTCTGTTAATATGATCCCAAGGTAATGATTACATATCTGCAAGTGGATAGATGCGGTGCAAGTCTCTCTAGCCCCATTGGTTGATGCTTAAGACTATTTTAAATTAAATAGGATTTTGATAGGGTGTTCAATCAAATTCATTCACAAACAAAATTTGAGTTGATGGATTATTAACATCTTTCTGTTTAGTGGACGTGGCAAGCTCTAGATGACGTAAAATCTTGTTAAACTCTGATTGATACATATAAACTGACATGATTTTTTAGCATAAAATACCAAATAAGGCCCGTTTACTTGAAAAAATGGTTATTGCATGTGATCTACGAACAACATTGTCAGTTGCATATTATTCATCTGCTACCGTTATGCTTCCTCTGGCTGTATTTCTCTTTTGAATTCAATTTCGAAATCGTTCATGCATGCTTCCACATCACCATATTTAACTTTTCAATTCGTGACGTGTGACACTGGCCATATTAATGTTACACAAAATTACTATTTAATATTTCCATATCTGTAGATTGTTGATTATTTTTTCACTTTTGAGTGACAAATAAGAGACCTTTTTGCAGTCTGAGAGGATATTGTCCATATATTTATAACTGTGGGTCGATTTATGTTTCAATCAAACAATGAAGAGTTGTTCTCGCTTAGGAATTGTCGATTAATGAATGGAGATATTAAAGATGTGTATGTCCTGCACCAAGTTTTTTTTTTTTTTTTTTTTTTTAACACTATTGACGTGTTTAAATATTTGGTCACACTTAATTTTTTTTAGAATCTTAAAATTATCGATCTGATAAAAATTTCATCCACTTGTCAATCAATGGTATTAGATTACAGAATATCAATGATCCTTGTTGGCCTGGATCTTGATAAACCTGATTAGTTATTTAATAACTAAATCTCTTGGTTTTCTTTTTTTTTTTTTTTTAATTTTTCGACTGATTAGAATAGATAAACAGAAAAATGATAAAGTTGAAAGCGGAAGATAAGATTAGCTGAATAGACGAGAACCCTATAATAAAAATCACAAAAGACAAAACGACAAAAAAAAATATAAATATATATATAATATAATATAGTAAAAAGAAAATAAACAGAAGACCATCAAATAGGCAGCGATTGGTTGCATTGATTCTGCCAAAACGCTTTTGAAGTCACATTGAAATTAGTTATTTAATCAAAAGTTTTCCAAGTATGCTAACGGTCTTCTGCCACTTCCAACGGCTGCCAGCTCATTTTATCACTTGATTTTCTGGGGCATTACAACGTTATCCATCCGTTAAGGACCCGATAATTGTTGTTAAATAGAAATTAATTGAATAAATTATGGGACTAAATACTTTGACTTGTCTATAATCAAGCGAATACAAAGTCATTGAATGTTTTATTTTTAGATCAATAATGTAGAATCTATGGAACATCTTACTCTGGGATGTGTTTGGACTCATCCTGATTTCTAATGGGATGTTAGAAGCCTACAAGTATTGGAATTGGAAGACTGGTTGTTGGAAAAATTCTTGATGTTGTTTCCATCTTTGAAAAAACCAGAAAGTGCCAAAGCCAATATCACCAATCTTAGCTGGGTAATTTGGAAAATGCGAAATGAAGTGGTGCCTCGAGGCGCAAAAATTAATCCAATGCAAGAAGTTCAGCAAGTTAAAATGGTTTAAAATCAATTGTGATGTGGCTTTTATAAAGTAATCTCACAATGGAGCGATGGGAATTGAAATAAGGGATGACAGAGGTATGTTGTTAATGGAGCAAGCAAAACAAAAAAAAAAAGAAAAAAAAAAAATCGCTACAACATCCCCTTGTAGCAGAGGCGCTAGTTGTTAGGGAAGCTATAGTTTTAGTTGCCAATCTGGGTTTGAGTAGGGTTTTACTAGAAACAGACTGTTTAGATCTTATTATGGCCTGCATGAAGGAAAACGTTTTTTGGGAGATTGATGGTATTGTGATAGATATACACAACCTTGCCTACAGTTGTTCCTCAGTTGAGTTTCAATGGACCAATAGGAAAGCTAATATGTTAGCGCATGAGGTTGCAAGGTTAATAACTTTGGATTCTCTGCCTTTGAATTGGTTGTCTTCTTACCATACGAGTATATTGAAGATTTGTCTTTAGGATAAACCATATGTTAATATCCAATTGGATTAGTTTGTTTGTCTTCTAAACTATGACTTTCATATGTATGTTGTTATCTCATATGTATGCCTTGTTTATTGAGGAATGAATGTTTCATTATGACCAAAAAAAAAAAAATCTTACATTTACAAAATATTTATACAAATTCATATGATATTATTATTATTTTATTGTTGCATTTATATAATATTTATTAAATTAATTTTTGATAACCAATTTTCAATTGTGTTCTCTCCTACTTAAAATTCTATTCAGTGGAAGAAGTTTCGAATTTGTTGTGGGTAGTTACTGATTTATTATTCCATATAATAAATTGGCTTCCAAAGAGGCCGGTCAATTTGCTATACTACTACTGTCTCTCTTTAATAATTATTCAAGACGATATTTTTATCAGATATGTTAGGTCTGCAATCTAATCTCACAACTCTCGATGTGAAAGTTCGCAATTGATCAAGTAGACGGGACGCATAGCAATTATACATGACTCATTTGTGAACTGATCAATTATAAACTGTCACATCGGAGGTTGTAAGAGAAGGTGATGAGATTTGATTATAAACTGAGCATTTTTCTATTTTTTTTTTTTTATTTAGATTGAGAATAATTAAACGACAGCCCTACCAAAAAATGAAGTTGCCACAAAATTTGCACAACTTTTGGCAACCACCTAGAGCTAGAGCAATGAAGAAATGGGCTCAACTCAAATGGTTTTTGATTTGATTTCTAAATTTTGTCCACCAAGGGGAAAGGATGAATAAAGGCAGAATTCAATTGCCAGATTTTGAGTGTGGCCGTAACAGTAACTCCTGTTGCATTGTTGAACAAATACAATCTTGCAGCTCCATAGATTGCCTTTGTTGGATAAATTCTTGACGTTATAACTCTCCTCCCTCCTTGCCCAAAGCTTTCCACAATCGAATGATCAACCTGATCATTCAAATTTCAACAATTTATTATTCATCTGGTTAAAATTAAACAACATATAATAATAATATAAATATTCTGACTTACCAATACCCTTATTTATAATTTTTCATCTTCAAGAACAAGGACACTGTTTCCAAAAATTGCATGCACATTACGTCGCATGCTCTGCAGATCGTTACTAATCATCTATCCACAGCTCCCATCCATCTTAGCTTGCACATTTGATCTCAATTTTCAGATCGTGTAGGCATGCAGATCGCATTATCATACTTCCAGCGAGATATCACTTGCTTTAACACATGAAATGCAAACAATTAAAGTCGACAACCTGAACTGTGACCATATTTAAGTAAATAATATTACCTGCTATAAGGAGAGAGTGCTAGATTCATTGGTTGGGAGAGTCGGATGCAGGAAAAGTGTTCTTAGCTAGTGTAGTGGGATGACCAGAGAAGATTCAGAAGCATGCGCATTTTAAGCTAGAATAAAAGAACCCTCTAGGGTTTAAAAGCACTAGCAAGTAGAAACCATACGAATCGGACCTCTTGCTAGTTTCAAACATTCACAAAGTGATATATAGAGATTAAAAAGAAAAAGAAGTTTAGAGATGAAAATGAAACATAATAGTTGTCAGTAGGTAAATAAAGGTATAAAATACAAAAAATGATATTGAGAATTGGCATGTAACATTATAAGAATGATGGATCCGCAATAACCTTAAAATAAATGTCATTTAACACCAAGGAAAGAATCTCTAAACCTAATCTAAACAAAAACTCACTGTTAAATCCTGCCTACAACCGAACCGGAACAAGCCGCTACTGTCATAAATTCTGAACTCACCCATCCGCATGAGAGTTTATCAAAATTCCAACAGAGAGTGCCAACACAAAAGTAAGGACCATCTTTGATACTCCTATCATAATTGATGTTGCAGCTGAGTGACTCTGCGGTCTGAAAGATGCAAAAAGGCAAAACATTAGCCATGTGAATTAATAGTCGTTAGAAGGGAAAAAGGAAAAGATATTAATGAAAAGGGGCGGATACTTCTGCAAGCTCTGAAGGGCACCACAATATAAAACATTATCAGGAGGAGACAGCTCTGTCCCGCCATTTTCCTCAGGATTGATAATTCTCATATATGTTTCTTGGCCGAGATACCAGCGATCCAGGTTTTCTACTCTAAGATTCCATACTCCAACATTATCAAGAGAGATAAGGATTGCTGTCCATCCACCCGGATAAACCTACGCAGAAGAAACATGAGAGGAATTAATATGGCATTGTTCAATTACCATTTCAAAAGACCTTTCTCATTTTCCATGCCAAAAATCCATCTGATTTTTCTTTCAGAATAAGAAAATGAGCTTTTTGATATGCAAACTAAATGTCTTAAAAATTCATAGTAATTGCAGACAAATGGTTCTTTGAAATACAATTACAAATGTAGGTACAAGATTTACCAACCTCTGTTGTGCAACGAAAAATCGCATCCCACTTGTTATAACTATTTCTATTGCTTTCTGACCATATACCAAAGTCCATCCTGCAGTCAGCCAAATTATTATGATAGTTGAAATTCTGAAAAATTTGGAAAGATGGATAAGCGAATTTCTTAAACAATATAAAAACTCTTACCCAACCACAAAAAATGAATAACCATCTATGTGAAAGCTCTGCATTCTGGTGTCATTATTTTGCAAAATAACTTCTACAAATCCCCTGTATGTAGCATTAAGAACAGATCTGTCTATCCGTAGAGTTCTATCCAGAGGCTTAGCTGGAAAATCTAGTTTGTAAGTTCCCTTCACATTGTGCTTGTCAGCAAGCCTGATTGGTAGATCAGGTTTGAGAGAGGAAATCCCATTCATTGTAGCACGAAGTTTCCCGTCAATCGTTGTTGGTGGCAAACTCCTTATAACATAAGTATCAGTCACATTGATTGAACCATAATGGAAAGATCCCTGAGCATTTGGACGAGCTCCACTAGCAGTTGTATTTTGCCTGATCAACACAAAAATTTAGAATTTAATATAGACTGATAAACCACTATTTAAATATCATAAATTTTGTATAAAATATCCAGTTTTAAGACAAAATGAAGGGTAAGGGGTCCTTATAAAAAGTACAAACCAAATTAGTCAATTTAAGCAACATATTCACCACAAGAAACCATACGTGGTAAACAGACAATAGCCACATATCGTAGAAAAAGCAAAAAGGAATGTATTTATATAGTAAAAGTCTTCAAATTTAGAAACAAACCTGATAGACCTTGGCTGGGTCATTGCTGACCATGTGTTATATATGTCACTAGGCGCTTCCGGCAAAGGACCAGATGCTGGACCTTTTGAATTGGAGTAGTGCAAGATGGCAACTCCAGTCACTTTTTGCCAAACTGATTCATTCACAAATCTAGCACTGGCCACAATGTAATAATCAGAAGTTGCATTCTGATCCATTGTGACTAAGAACGAATACGATTGACCCACATGAATTTCAAAGCTGGTATAATTCTGCTGCACTGTGTAATATCCCTCTGTTTCGACAAGAAGCAGATTATGATTCTGAATTCTGAAGTTCAAACTAGTTGAAGTCCCAACATTATGCACACGCATTCGATAAGTTTTTCCTGCACAACATTATACCACTGTCAATTAAATTTCGAAAAGTTCAAAGTATTTTCCATTATAATTAGTGACAGCATGACCGACAATCAGCACCAGTTTCTCAGTACTTGCATTCAGCGTATGTAAAAGAACATTCAGGGCTAAAGAAACTAAAGTATTCCAAGAAAACCACCAAAAAATAAATAAATAAATGAAAGAACTAGTAACCAGGGATGAGGCATGGTTCTATCAAACTAATAAAAGAACAGAGGTGTCTTGCAGCACAAAGCATATTCATTACAACTGCAATGAAGAAAAATGGTTGAACAAATTATAAATGCCAAAACTATATTACCTGGCTCTACATTAATAGTTTCATATTCAATGCCATCGGGAACAAGGGTGGTATTGTATCGGCAAGGTCCCTTCCCGTTAATGAGAACTCCATCTGGCATCCCAAGGTCCTTCCCTGAGTCCAGATCTTTCCTCAGTGCCTAACATCAAGAAAGAGACCAATATTAGAGATAAGCTGCAATCACTCCTTCAATGTTGTGAAATACATAATGTATCAACCCTAAAATAAAGTACTAACCGTATGGTTTCGGGTATACCAGTCACCGATCAGAATAACAATATCTCCATCTGGCGGTGCAAATGGAATTGCAATGATTGCCCTATTGTTAATAATAATGCCACCAAAGCCACCAGATGCTCTCTGAAGATTAAGTGATGGGTAGTAGAAAAAGCTCCCAATCTGGTCCTTGGCCTGGAACTGATAAGTCCAATTCCATTTTGGTGGGATTGGACAATTTGTTCCAAGAACACCATCCTGCCATGAATTACGCCGCATTTGGATCCCAGGCCTGCTCAACCATCAAACTCATTTTTCTCAAAGTGACCCAAAGAAAAAGCAGGGAAAGAGGAGGTAGAGATAGATTTGAAGTCCTTATAATAATATATGAGAAAAAAAAAAGTTTGGCTTAAACCTACCATGTCATTAGGAGATCTTCATCCAATTCATTCGTCACATCAATAACAACATTGTAATTAGTGGTTGCATTGATAGGGGGGCCAGGAAACTTATCATTAACTGCTATAACCTGCAATCAAAAGCTATTTACCTTTAGTAACAATACAACTAATTCAAAATTTTGTACAACTCAAAACCATCAAAATCCTAATTCAGACCCGATAAACTTTGTACTGGGGAAAAAAAACTAGAGAGTATATTCAACTATGCCTACATGCTTTAGGAAAAACAAAATGCACTACTTAGTTCAACTATGCCTACATGCTTTAGGAAAAACAAAATGCACTACTTAGTTCAACTACTTTTTCAAATTATTCACATAGAGTTATTTTGGGTTCAAACAGAGAAAAATAAAATGCACATAAAATTCTTTAACCAAATCTGAAGTGAAATATTTAAGTCCTTCACCACATTAACTACGCTCAACCACAAAATTTAATTCAACAGCAATAACAACAAATAACATAAAGAAAATTTTTCTCTCCATAATCCCGAAAGTACCCTATCAAGCTCAAGTACTTGAAAAATTGATCTTTAGAACAAAAAATAATGAAGAACATAATCAACTCAAACTGACATTTATAGACCTTAAGCTATTCCACAGGCCCTTAAATCTCGTTTACTGGTGCAAATGGAAAATTAGTATCAAAGCGAGTAAAAAGTCAGAAACAAGCTTGTGCCTTTAATCTACAACCACCCTTAAACAACACCATATTCAACATAAAGCTCAAATCTTTCAAAACCACACTGAAAATCAGTCAATACCCACGTAGAGGGAAAAAAAAAAAAAAAATTCTACACTGTTATTTCCAGTAGAACCAAGACCAAAACCAGATACAAAATAAGTTAAAAAACCATGACCAAGGTACCATTTTTATCAGTGTATGCGTCAACCCAACAAAAACCCAGATAAAAAATAATTAAAAAAAAAAAACTTTGTTCTACAAAGCCAGTTAAGAGAATGAACCTGTTGAGGAACACCCAAAGGCGAGGCAGTGATGTAAGAGACTTTTAAAACGTAGTTGACATAGGGGTCGGCAGCGAAACAGAGGGTTGAAAATAAAACAATGTGCATGAAAATACAGAGAAGGGACCTCATCAGAGCCATGAGTATACGCAACGTAAAATGAGTTTGGAGATGAATGGGAGTTGTTTAGAACATATTTCACACTAATTTATAAAGGATTTTTTTCACATAAAGAAGAGATAAATAATGCTAGCCTTACTCACTCCTCTTACTTACTTCTCTTACTCACTTATGGGGAGAAGTGAGTAAGGCTAGTATATGATTCTCACATTACTCATTCTTCCCATAAGTGAGTCTTACTCACTTCTCCCCATTAAGTGAGTAAGAGAAGTAAGTAAGAGGAATGAATAAGACTAGTATTACTCAAGAAAGATAGAGCGGCTTCTTCTTGAAGTATTTGGAAGTTTTAAGTTCTCCAAGAAGACAACAGAATAATAAAATACAAATACCCTGCACGCGGCTTCTTCTTGTAGTATTTGGCAAGTTTTAACATATACTTTATTGATAATAGATATTAAATTAATTAGACGTAATAAGATGATTTTTTAAATAATATGATGTGCAATGGATAAAGAAATTAGAAAAATGACTCTAAACCGTTGAATTAAAATAACATTTAACAATATACAACCTGAAAGAATTCAACGTATCTATACATAAAATAAAATAAACCTTATACTTTATTGAACAATACAAATGAGCATGAAATTACATTATTAGGATTGTTACCTGCCCATATTTCAAATCCAAACCATAATTTGCCATTATTCGGGTGACAAAAAAAGCTTAAACCGGGTGCAGCCGGTGACATTGAGAAAATTGGAAAATAATAGAGAGTGACAGACTGGTACCCATAGACAATGCGCCACCCTTCACATTTGGACAAGTTTCTGTACCTCGTACTTTTAATTAATGAATCAATCTTGGGTTTCCCTTTTCTTTATTAAATTAATTAATTTTCAGAGGGGCAAAAAAATAAAAATAAAAATAAAAAGGCTTTAAAGTTCAGGCTCACCCAACAAAGGGATTTTAAAGAGGTTTGTTCTTTTTAAGTTTTTGGGTTCAAATTTTGAGATTATTCACCAAAATATTTGGTTATTTAGGTTTGTAAAGTGTTTAAGTTTGTAAAGTGTTCAATAGACACTAAAAATTAGTTGAAATACACGTAAGCTAACTCGAACATCTCTATTACAAAAAAAAAAAAAAAAAAGTTCAAGCTCACGCACATGCAAACCTCCAAGACCACACCAACTCTGAATTATATATCCAGTTACCAAAAAAAATTCAAGCTCACGCACATGCACATCTCCAAGATCACACCAACTCTGGATATTCTAAACATTCGATTTCTTGTTCATTTTCTTGTTTATTAATTGTTATATATATAATGTCATTAATTTACGCACTCGCATACACACGCGGCACACACACACACACACACACACACACACACACATCTTAGATATAATGTAATTAATTTATGCACTCGGCGCGCGCACACACATACACACACCACACCACACACATATATAATATATAATATTATATATATATAAATATATATATATAGATATATATATTATATATATATATATATATATATTGTTGATTTGACACGTGTAATTAAGGGTGAAATTTTAATTTTAGAAAATAATACAGTTATCAAAGGAGCGCATCGAATGACATAGTGCAATCCTGACCGTCGATTAATTATGAATTATATTAATCGATGGTCAGGATTACGTCACGTCATTTAGTACATAAATTGGTGTGTTACTTTTGATAACTGTAACATTACTCTTTAATTCTAGTATGTAAGAACTTTTCTCTCGTCTTGACGTGTATAAGAGACAGTAATTCTATATTTACTATTAATTAATCCACTTTGGCCTTTGGAGCTACTAAATTTATATATATATTCATCTCCCATGTGCATTTGAAAAATCAACTTCTAAATGACTGTTTGTGGGGATTTCGTGAGTCCAGGTTTGGGCCGGCATCATGAAGGAAGGATTCTAGGGTAGGTATGCTAAGAGTAATAATATTACACATGCAACTTTCTCATACAATTTGATGCGACAAAAGATGATTGAGTAAAATTTATTTTTAATTTAAAATCAATCAATTATATTTTGACATCAAATTGTATGAACTTGATGAGAAATATTATTATGTATTTGCTTATACAATGCATACACCTCCTAAAATGTTTAGGTTGGCATTAATTTTGCTAGCTACAACACATGCAAAAGGTAGAAAAACTGTTATTTACTTAATAGTTAACTAATTTTAGTTTATTCTTTTAGGATATTTAAAAAATCGTTATAATATTTTACTTACCTTATCTATAATTTATTTCAATAACAATTGAATTTATTAAATTATCTCCTTAAGTCTACTTATGATATTAATTTAATAATAAACAATACAAATAGCATGAATTACATTATTAGATTGTTACCTGCCCATATTTCAAATCCAAACCATAATTTGTCATATTCGGGTGACAAAAAAAGCTTAAACCGGGTGCAGCCGGTGACATTGAGAAAATTGGAAAATAATAGAGAGTGACAGACTGGTACCCATAGACAATGCGCCACCCTTCACATTTGCACAAGTTTCTGTACCTCGTACTTTTATTAATGACAATCTTGGTTTCCCCTTTTCTTTATTAAATTAATTATTTCAGAGGGGAAAAAAAAATAAAAATTAAAATAAAAAGGCTTTAAAGTTCAGGCTCACGAAACAGAGATTTTAAAGAGGTTTGTTCTTTTTAAGTTTTTGGGTTCAAATTTTGAGGTTATTTATCAAAATATTTGGTTATTTAGGTCTGTAAAGTGTTTAGGCTTTGTAAAGTGTTCAATAGGCACTAAAAATTAATTGAGATACACGTAAGCTATCTCGAACACCCAATTACAAAAAAAAAAAAAAAAGTTCAGCTCACGCACATGCAAACCTCCAAGACCACACCAACTCTGAATATATATCCGTTACCAAAAAAATTCAAGCTCACGCACATGCCACATCTCCAAGATCACACCAACTCTGGATATTCTACATTCGATTTCTTGTTCATTTTCTTTTTTATTAATTGTTATATTATAATGTCTTAATTTACGCACTCGCATACACACGCGACACACCACACACACCACACACAACCACACACACCACACACTATAATATAATTATATTAATTGTTGATTTGACCACGTGTAATTAAGGATGAAATTTTAATTTTATAAAATAATATATATATATATATATATATTAATTGTTGATTTGACACGTGTAATTAAGGGTGAAATTTTAATTTTAGAAAATAATACAGTTACCAAAAGGAGCGATCGAATGACATAGTGTAATCCTGACAGTCAATTAATTATGAATTAATATTAATCGATGGTCAGGATTACGTCACGTCATTTGGTACATAAATTTGATGTGTTACATTTGATAACTGTAACATTACTCTTTAATTCTAATATGTTAAGAACTTTTCTCTCGTCTTGACGTGTATAAGAGACAAGTAATTCTATATTTACTATTAATTAATCCACTTTGGCCTTTGGAGCATACTAAAGTTATATATATATATATATTTCATCTCCCATGTGCATTTGAAAAGTCAACTTTTAAATGACTTCTTTGTGGGGAATTCGTGAGTCAAAGGTTTGGGCCGGCATCATGAGAGGAAGGATTCTAGGGTAGGTATGCTAAGAGTAATAATATTACACATGCAACTTTTCTCATACAACTTGATGCGACAAAAGATGATTGAGTAAAAATTTATTTTTAATTTAAAATCAATCAATTATATTTTGACATCAAATTGTATGAACTTGATGAGAAATATTGTATATGTAATATTATGCTTATATGTTTAGGTTGGCATTAATTTTGCTAGCTAGCAACACATGCAAAAAAGACTAGCGTAACAACCTACTGTCACGTCATCCACTTAAATCGTGAATGCTCAGATAGAGAATCAAATATGAGGCCGTGCGTCAATCCATACTATCTCTAATTCGTCTTAACCATCTTTTCATACAAACTCATTTATATAAATTACGTGTTTTAATGTAATCAAATTATTTTGAATTAGAGATAAATGTAATAATTAAGATAAATGATATGTCAAACATGCAAGTTTATCACATCAGTTTGTAGGGAATAGTTTGTATAAGTAGCATTACTTTAGTTGTGATATTTTAACTATATGTAATGATTTTTCAAAACTATTATATCTTAATGTAATTTAATATCATTCTCAATAATTATTCTCGCTAATATGAATCATGTCTTAAAAGGATTATCAAATCAATAGAAATAAGTTTGTTTCAAGAGATTCATATACAATGCTCCATACAAAAAATGAAATTTTATGATGACTTTCAATAATATTGCATTGATAGTTTTTTCTCACAATCCTAATATAACAGTTCATAATTAGTTAATTTATGATAGGTCTTACTTGAATTTCGTTAATTAATTATAAATTATTATATCAAAATTGTGAAAAAAAATTTATAGAAAATGATAGTTATCGTAATATTACTCTTCGTAAAGCTGCCAAATAAAAGCCTCCTTTACTTGGGAAATTTGTTATTGCATGTGATCCGACGATCAACGTTGTCAGCTTTGCTTATGCTCTCATCTACAACCATTAATGCTTCCTCTGACTATATTTTCTCTTTTGAATTCATTGGGTTGATCAATTCAGTTCTCCGTACTTGTACTTTCGTCTATGCATGCTTCCACGACACCATAACTTTTACTTCAACGTGATAACAATAATATTAATTTTACACAAATTTAATATTTAATATCTCCATTACCTCGTAAATTGTGATTATGTTCTACTTTGAGTGCCAAACAAAAGACCTTTTGCAGTCTGCAGATGATATTGTCCATTATATTTATAACTGGTAGGTCGAATTAATTGGTTTTAATTAACAATGAAGAGTTGTTCTGCTTATAATTGTCAATTAATGAATGGAGGATCATAGTAAAGATGTATATGTCGTGCATCCAAGTTGTTAATACAATCTTATTGGATTTAAAAAATGTAGAATTCCTAT